GTGTAAATGAGCACTAATGAACCTTGACAATTATAAAATAAACAAACATAGCTTGCTTTTAAATTAAGCCGAAATTTGGGCTTCGGGCTATTATCGAGCCCTAACCGCCAAAAAACGTAGGCGGCATTTTTTTCAAAATATTCCCTTTGATGCAGAATTGCATCTAGATGCTCTAGTGGCTTTTCTGCATCAAAAAGAAAGTTTTTGAAAAATGTCGCTTAAGTTTTTTTTTTGGTTAGGGCTCGTTATATCGCTACCTAAATGTGAATAGGTGCCAAGTCCATTTTTTTCAAATTTCACTTTTTGATGCATCTATTTTTCGTCCCCACTGCACTACATCTATTTGTCGTCTCCTGAACAATTTCAAAAAATGGACATGGCACCTTTTCACCTTTAAGTAACGATATACCTATGATATAAATAGTCATGTGAAAAACATTCCTAACTGAATAAGTAAAAAACGCAAATTAAGAAGGGCATGGCGAAGAATTCGCTCTCCTAAACTTAAGCAGAAGCTGAATGCGTCGAAATAAAGTCCACTGAAAAGTTAGTTGCAGTTATTTTTTACAGGCATCCCATTGGAAACATACGGCGCCCCATGATAGAGGGCTTCGGGTGTACGTATTTGTTGTAACATCAGGAGTTGAAGACTTGCTCTAGCTGCTAGTCTCTTAAAATTACCTCCAATCATGTCGTAAGCAGATTTCCTATGTCAACTTGCAACAAAGTTGAATTCCGCCATTTGAAGCGATTTTCGTTAATTCAGACCTTTAGTAAAGTTACCATGATTTATTCATATTGTTTTTGTTTTTACACCCCTCTTTCAAAAATATACAATTTTATAAAATTTCAATGTCTCTTTATCATATTGCTCGAGCTTTAGACGATCTACTGTCCATACGCCTAAGTAGCCCATTACGCCCATTTGGGTACTTAAAGTTGACATTATAGACATTGTTTTTATCTAAAAATAAAAATTTTTTAAAATGCTATAATCAAGGTACATTGAACAGGTAGTATCAGTAGAGCAGCTGATTTGATTTATTTTCAAATTATTTGGTCTCGAAAATGTCAAATATTTTTAATTTTTTCTCACAAAAATTATGAATTGTTAAAATCCATTTGCATGTGAAACCTTTTTCCATACAAAACAAGCGATTGAATAGCAGCTTTTGGAACGTTCGCCCAACTCAGCAGCACGACCGCTGATTACTGGGCCTTGCAAAGGATGGATCAATGCTTCGAGAAGCAAACAAATTTACTAGGAAAGAAAGTTGCATCAATTTTTATTTTTTCCAATTTCAATTTTTTATTTGTTATAATTTTTTGTATTTCACATGGCACGCTTTGATTTAGAAGAAAAAATTCAGAACAGTTTTTGACACTTTCGATACCAGAAGCAACAACAAAATACACGCAAATGTTGTTTTTGCTCTACTGATACTACCTGTTTAATGTGCCTTGGCTATATTCAAAAAAAAAAGAAAAATGTTTAATTTTTTTTTATACGTTGCACATTAATTTAAAAAATGTACAATTAAAGCCCCTAATAAGACAGAAGAAATACATTTTTTTCATTAAGTTTTGTTAAAAGGTTTCCAAGATACAGCACTTTAAAGAGGGGTATGTGTGGCGTTTTCTTAAAATTTAAGTCCCGTGTAAATAGGCAACCCTACGTCATATCGGCAAAATATGCTGCAAGTATATTAATGTCACCTAGACCTTCAATCTCTTTAACTTTCATCCAAATCCTGATAGGTCGCGCTCAGAGGTGGCCGCGGTGACATGAAATGCCTCCATACTAAAATTTAAAGGGCTAAAAACTGCATACTCAGCTTTCTTCTCAATTTGAATTGAAAAAGCGAACTCTACCGAATGCTCCAAAAGAAATTTCGTATAAAATTTGATTCGATCAGAGATGTCAAAGTAAACATTTCATTTTTATTTAAGGTGTGTTCGATGACAAAATATCTATGTTCATTTAAATCTATTTACTTTCTTGTCGCAAAATATTGGTAGATAGATTTTTACCTTTGGTGGTAAATATGGTAGAAAATATACCCCCTTACTCTAGATCCCGAATTTTCGTAATTCGTAATTCGTAGTTACACTACGAAAACGAAAAATCCAATTTCACAAAGATATGCGGAGCTGTTGGGCATAGTAACCATAGGCGCATCTATGTCAGCTTCTGGTTGAATTGTTGAACCACAGGCCAGAATTCCTCCTATGCCTGAAGCTCCGGTTCTCAATCCAGTTAATGCAATAACAGCTTCTTCCAAGCCATTAAAAACATGCACTTTGTTAGGTCCACCACCTGTTGCGCTTGCTTCTGCCTTCGGCCGCGCTTAGGGATTATAACCCTTACTAAGTAGAATTCTCATTTCTGTGTTGCGGGGAAGAGGGGCTTCCGCTTGTCAAAGGTATACAACATTTCTTGTGCATATCACTCCGGCTACGACGTCCACAGTATTTTTGCGCAGAACCCACGTCGAAATTTTCAAAAAAGTGCATAGTGCAAACCGAGTTTATTAATAAGCTAGTGGTAGGAAATTTGAGACATTTATCTTAAATAAAATGTGAATCCTTTGATTACACGTGTATGTTAAAGTTTTTGGAATGGGTTATGCGTTTGGACACAACAACCGAAAATCGTTGTACATTAACTAAACCAGACCCAAGTTTCTCGATCAGGGGCAACAAATATTCTTTTTTGCTCGCTTATATAAAGCAGTGGATAAAAATATACGTATATGCGAAAGGCAAATTTATCTGTTTAAATGAATACCACCAATGTCTCTTGCAAACACACATCGATTTACATCTTTTATTTCGCCTCCGACACAGAGTTGTTTTCGTACAAAATTACGCAAAAAAGCTTACTCGTTCGTTTTTAGGCATGCCTTTGTTATCAATTTCGAAAATTCGTAAATATGATTCGGATTGCAGCATACTATTTCTACGATTCATGGCAAAATCCGAATACGAAAGAGTTGCAGAATAGGGGTGTATATAAAGCAGTGAATAAAAATATACATATATACGAAAGGCAAATTTATCTTAAGTATGTTATTAATGTTGTTATGTAAGTATGTTATTTAACGTTGTCTGGATGCACTTCGGCCGTTCAATTGGCTCGAAAAATGCCAGTCAGAGTTTTCGTACGTTCTCTATATTTAACCTTCTCTGGGAATAGACAGTAAGGCAAGGCTGTAAAACTACATACATATAAGTACCTGCAAACTAATAACTATAAAATTGTTTTTCTGGGAATATCTTTAAGCATTTTTAACCGACTTCTAAAAAAGGAGGAGGTTGTCAGTTCTTCGGAATATTTTTTTTTTTTTATGTACAGTACCGGTCAAAAATGGATGAATGGTGTTTCGTTTTATTCTATTCATAAATTTGTGAAGTTTTATTACATAATATAAGCTACATTAGACTGTCCCAAAAGACCAAAGTTCTTTTTTTAACGCATACCCCTCATTTTATTGGTTTTGTCTTAAAAACTATCCAAATAAAATTAAATGCAATTCGGACCACGGCAACCCGTGCACGGTGGTCGGATCCAAGCTCCATCCAAAGGTCTTGGCACTTCAAATTTTCTTCTGAACTTCTTTTCTGTTATGCTTTAGATTTTTTCCCCTTTCGTCTTAAATTACTTAGAAAACAAAATAGAAAAGAGTCTCATAAGAAAATCTTAAGTGCCAAGACCTTTCGATTGAACTTGGTTCCGACCCACCGTGCGTGACGACTTGCAATCAAAGTTATCAGAATAATCTTTGTGCAGTTCGCGTGTTTTGTTAACTTACTCTTTTTACTAATTTATAAAAATGGTAGAAGTGATAGATATTTCGGATATCACCACATCTCCTCATCAGATCTCTACAGTGGGATTCGATGCAACGACCCTAGCTGACTTAGCCAGTTGCCTACGCACTGTGCTAAGTTCGCCTTATAAACTGTTGTTATTGAGACCAAAAATTTTAATTTATTTCTAAAAGTTTACACAAAATATAGAATAAAACTTAAATAAAAGAAAAATTCAAAACAAGATTAATCATAACTTTTGTTTTCCTTGTTTTCATGTCAAAAATGTCCTTTAAAGATATTATCCTTCAAGATTTTTAATTTTGAATTTTTTAATTTAAATCCTATTAATATATGTACATATATGGTACCGGCCAAACCCGATCTTAGGACAAACTAGTTTTTCCTTGGCTACCTATGTAGATCCAATATATCCGTAAAATGTGAAAAAGTTGGACGCAACACTAGGTGCATTATTTTGCAGCCGAGATACAAAAGAACACTCGCTTAAGTGACGAAACACACGCAAAGCAACAACACAAACTCGGCTATTTATCCGAGTTCAGCCAGTTCGGTTAAAAAATACGCGACTTGAAAAACTGCTATATTGTGAATTATTAATGGGAAAGTGGAGAGGGACGTTTTTGTTTCCTTATATACGTGACTTATATTTTAAATAAATGCACTGAAGGAAAAAATTTTAGAATTAAGAAAAACGTGCTAAATTTAAGAAAATACGCATATGAAAGAGCACTAACCCAACTCGTTTTAAATTTGCCCCTGCGTTAGCCCGCGGGCACCGGCCGGAACATTTGCTCTCAGCACGAACTCGTGCGTGCATGGGCGTTCAGTAAAATTTCATAAAAGCACGAATAAGCACGAAAAAGCCCGTTGCTAATACTAAAAATTTAGATAAGCTTTTGTTTTTATTCAAAGAGAATAGTACATATTAAAACTCTTTTGATAAGAGAAAAGCGAAATAAGAAATATTCGGAAACCGATAGAAAAAATAAGATACCTATTAGTTTTGTTTACATATCTGTAAATAAAATACCTTCCACTTTTTCTACTTCCCAGAAAATATATTATAAAAATCTTTGATGTAAAAACTTGATTCGATTAAGTAAATGTACATACAGTATCGGTCATATCTATAGCACGCCATTTCAAAGTGATATTGTGTGCCACTTATGTTTATTTATTTATTTTTAAGAATTTTCAATTAGTTCTTTCTCTAACAAAACCCATATAAAACCAAGTTTAACAATTTGTAGAAAACTACAAAAAAGTGCAACAAATTTTCACCTAAATTTCAAACTTTTTTCTCGGAAGTGTTAGAATTTTTTTGAGTACACAGTTTTTTAGCCCCTGCACATTTAGTCTAATAATGTGCAAATTTCAAGTGGCTACGAATAACCGTTAATTTTTTCGAATTTTTTTTTGTCGCATTGGCTTCCATATAATGAATAAACTCTATTCATTTGTATATGGAAGAAACCCGCAACACCTTTGGCGAAAAAATTCTAAAAAATCAACGGTAGCTTTTAGCCACTTGAAACTTGCTCATTATCAGACTTAAATTGATTGGGCTATAAAACGGTGAGTTCAGAAAAATTCTAACACTTCCGAGAAAAAAGTTTGAAATTTAGATGAAAATTTATTACACTTTTTTGTAGTTTTCTACAAATTGTTAAACTTGGGTTTATATGGGTTTTGTTACAGAAAGATCTATATTTTAATTGAAAATTCTTAAAAATAAATAAATTAACATAAGTGGCACACAATATCACTTTGAGATGGCGTGCTATAGATATGACCGATACTGTATGTACATATGTATACATACAATAAAAGTTGGCTCTTTATTTCTGGGTTTAGACGTGTCCCGTCGTGCCGGGCCGGGCCGGGCCGGGCCCCACTAAAATGCTTGCCGTGTGGGCTCGTGCGTGTTTTTGAAAGTTGATTTTGCACTCGTGCCGGGCCGGGCCTGAAAATTTAGGCCCGTGCTCATCTCTATTTTGAATTAACATCACAGCGTGCGATTAGTGCTTTTGTACAGATAAACATGTACCATGTATGTGTTGTCACCACTGTGCATCCTTTGTATACATATACTTTCTTAATTACATAAAAAAAAGCATCCGAGACGTTCAAAACGCCATCCGTGCAGTGGAAAATGCTTCATTTTAATACGGGAGTGTTTGAATTGAATACATTTTAAAACGGTAATCAAATAAAAAAATTTCATTTTTACAACGCGTTTTTTTTCTCAGTGTGTATATATTACGCAAATACCACGCATAATTAGTCATTGGTTTTTGTATCTAAATCCCGTTAAACTAATCGCATGTTTATTGCCAGCTACCAACGCGGTGGCTTAAGTAGCTAAAAGGAAATTTTACCAGAGTTGAGCGTTCTTTTGTCCCTCGCTAACAAAAAAATGCACCTAATATTGTGGACTGCGTATCTGGAGTTTGACTGATTAGGGTTATTTTTTTAAGTGCGGCCAAAGGCCGCCTACGTGGAAAGGTATAATTAATTTTTTCAATGTCCTCGGGAGAGATCCTTCCGTCCAATTAAAAATTTAAAGACTCAGATTTACTAGACATGCGCTAAAATATGGGAAAGATATCGAATTTTTCCAAAGATTTCATGCACGATTAAATCAGCTTATTAACTAAAACCTCAACTAAAAGTCGGCACGAGTTATCGTTATCCTACGGCCATAAAACTTCATATATGTGCTATTTAGGCTAAAAAGTAAAAATATATTATGATTGGTATTTTTTTTTTTTGTTCTAGAGTCATCAAATTTACTTACAACCTATAAAGATAATTTAAATTTCGAGTTAGAACAAATGGAGACTAACATCAGCAAAAATTCGGCTAGTGTGTGCATTAAAAAAATTTGCGATGTCGGTGAAAGTATGGTAAACGAAATTGAGCGCGAGCGCAAATCATTGTTAGAGCTGGAAGGGAATGCTGAACGACTCGCTCGTCAATTGGGTTGGCAATATGAGGCTTATCAGCGAAGAACACAACAATTTGAATGGTACTCAAACAGTAATTACAATGAAAAATGGTTATTATAATTATTTCTTACTCTACAGTTTTAAACGAAACGTCGAAACCCTTCTACGCGTGTTAAGTGATGTCAATCTACTGGAAGAAGTTCAAATCGATACAGAAAATAAGATCCAGCAGCTTCAACAAACGTCCAATTCCATAACTAAGCACAATTGGCGTAATTTTATCAACGAAACAACAGAAAACTTATTAAAAGATCTTTCCTCACTGTCAGACTTGTAATACATGTATCTAATTTTTTAATTTTTTCTCATGATGAAGTGTTTAATAAATACATATTTTGTTTTTATTTTTTTATTTTAAGAAAACCTAGTTCCTTTTTGTAATATTAACCTACTAAATTTTAATTGCTATAAAATTCACACGTTCCTTGAACAATTTAAGAAGACTCATATTTTTTCCGCTTATGCATAATTTGCGAATACATGAAATGAAGTGTCTTGGAAAAGTGGCGCCACACTACACAATGGTTCGGATAGCAGATCTAGGTGAACGAAAGTCAAAATTATTTTGTTTTTAAAATACTTAATGGTCCTTGGAATACATTCCTGACAATACATTCAAATAAAAATTGCATTTATTAAAGCATTAACATATGAAAACAAACAAAAAAAGGTAAGTCAACGCCGCCTATTTGAGAACTCTATTTTAAAAGCTGAAATTTAACTTAAAAGATTGCTAATTGCACTCACAGATATTTGCATAATTTCAAATTAACTTTATAAACAAAAAATTACACTAATCCCGCTATAGATTCAGAGTTCATAACGCAATTTATGTCCACATTGGTATAAGCAAATTTATTCTGAAAAATCGTCGTTTGATTGAGGGGGGTAGGGGTTGTGTGTTAAAACAGAAAAATACTTGGAGTTATAGAAACTTTGGTTATGTAAGAGTTAAAAAAAAAAATATAACTCGCAAATTTTCTGCTTTCTGAAATTAAAAACTTATACAACAGGCATGCAAATCTTTAAGCGCTGTTATAAAATTTTTTTCTGAAATTTATTTGTGTTTCTTGCTGTGATCTTAAATTTTAGTCATGGTAAATAAAATCTTAGGAAGTGAGTTGTTTGACATTTGGAGAAGTGTTGCTGAAACTTCTAAAAGACAAAAAGACAACAAGGTGTCCGTGATTATGTGATTAGTAAATTGAAAGAAATATCTGATGAAAATGCTCGTTCCGAAGTAAATAAAGTAAATTAAGTAAACGACTTTATATTCGTAATCAGCAACCCAGAAAACCCCCAGATACCCAGTTGCATAGAAATCTACCGATTTTTTTAAATTTTCGTCCGCCATATTGGATCCGCCATTTTGAATTTTTGATAAGTGACTTCAGATTCGTAATCAGCGACCCAAAAATCCCCTAGGTAAGAAGTGGTGTAAAGATCCATCAACGAGTATTTGTTTAAATACTTTCGTCCAGCTAGATTTGCGATCCGAACCACTATGCACTAGCGAGAAACTGCACAGTAGGGTTGTGATTTTTTTTCTTTTTTTTTTGAATTTGCAAAAGGCGTTGAACCAGGAAGTGGTCCATGTTATGCTTAAATTGGTTTTGGGGCATTTGAATTTCTCTAATATATCAACAAATCCAAGTCATTTTTCCAGTGTTTTAAGTCATGGTTAGGCCACTACATGCTTTTGATCTAAAAACTTCCTAACCCTAATAAACAGTTGTTTGTTAAACATGGCCTTGTCGGATTACCACTTCACGATTTCATGAGATTGTGCCCAAATTCATGGTTAATTTTCGTGTATAATTGAATTCATGATATTGTGTTTATGCAGCCAATTTTAGCCAAAATTCATTAAACAATGAACAATGTTGAATTGCCATGCAGCTTCGTCTCTTGGACCGCAGCTATTAATATTCTGCTGTGAAGGCTGTTGCCCTCGCTGGCTATCGAAGATCGAAAGTGAAATTCGTATTATGAGCTACGCAACCGTGTCGAAATTTTCATTGAGTATCGAATTTTCTGTCGAACAGAATTTTGCTTTCGTTGGTGCAGCGAGGTCTTAGAAAATTGTGAAAATAAATGATTTCGCATTTGTTTTACTTACTTTTTTTCAGCTAGACACTAATTTTAAACCAGTTTTATTAATTTTATGCAGTTCTAACGTCGTGAATACTAAACACAAGTTCGAAAGGCTGGTTTTACTTATGAAAGAAAATCCCAATACTCTGTTGGCACGATCTCTGAAAACAAAATCATAGAGCTGTTTATAGTTTTAACATACATATTTTAAATAGATTTGGATCACAAATTTTCTTAGATATATTGTATGTCAAAATATATTCGAAAAACTACACTTAAACTCTCTTAAACGTTTTCTGCTCCTGGCCAGCTTTCTAAACTCTCATCCTCTCACGAATCGTTACTCGCCATGATACCAAATGAAAATTCATTCGATCAGCACTTTCAACCACAGTCGAAGATCGAATGCAACTCATAATAGGGGCCTATATTTTTTATATGGTTAATACATTTTGGAACCAAAAAGCAATTATTCTTTGATTAAACTAAAAATGTGTAACAGGCTAACCTAATATTCGCGGCTTGCGTTTTGGTACGCATGCCGTCGAATTTGTTTTTTTGCGTCACCCGAAATTGACTTGCATGCGTTTGCATTTGATTTCATTGAGCGAAACGTCAAATCAAAATGTCACGCAGAACAAAAATTGGAAATTGAGTTAGCTTCATACGCACGCCGTTCAATTTCGGTTGATCTCATACAAGTTGCATGTGCATGAGAAATTTTTGACAATAAATTGGCGGCGTGCGTGAATATTAGGTTAGCCTGTAAAAGTTTTGCATAAAATATCAATTTTAATACACAAATTTCAAAGATTTTTTAGTTGCGTTCCCTAACCCGCAAAAAGTTGCAATAATTTACAAGATTTTACCAGAAAGCGCTCCAGTACTCGGTTCTCTGGCAAAGTAGGAGAAAAATGGGAGAGTGAAAGCGGTCCTCTCTTTGTCAGAAGTTGCAAGATTCTTGAAGAATTTTTGCTGGTAAAATTTGGTAAAGTGTCAAACCATCAGCAGTCCAAATGATTTCAAATTTGAATAAGCAAAAACAAAAGTGCATCCGCATTTTCACCTTATTAAATATATCCTAGAAAAGATATATCATGTTTTGTAAGTATTTTCTTAAATTTGCTGGTGTATTTGAGCAAAATTTAGATCGCCAAATCATAAAAAAAAACTGCTATGTAAACAAAAAATGGCGTTCACGGTGTATTTGACAGTTTTACCAGTTTTTACACGAAAAGCGTTGGCGTACTTTTTGGTTTTTCTCTTTCTCTGAGAGCTATTTTGATTTTGACAGTTTTACAGGTTTTAGCCATGGTACAATTATTAAAGGTATTGTCTTCCCAGAGAGTTTTGCTTCAGATCGAAATTCGTGCTCCCTTATTTTCATATTGATGCATTTCAATATTGATTCTTTACTTTGCATTGCTTTTGGTTTTCGCCGAATTAAATTTTTGTAATTAAAAAAAAAGGAAAAATCGTTTGAAATAAATTTAGCAATAAAAGTTTTTAATTTGTTTACTAAGCAAATGTATATTTTGTCGGCATTTGCAAATTAAATTCTCTGCAAGGTTTGTTAAAAAAAATACATGGGCATACATAAATGGTATATGCTAAATAGAAATATCCCTTTTCCCTTACAGTAAACCTTTTAGTGTGGGCAACAATGATATTTTTCAAATAAGGCAGATCGGAATATGCGCTCTCACGGAAGACAATACCTGTAATTATTGTACCATGGGTTTTATCATGATACAAAAATAAGGTAGTTTCATTTCAAAATTTTTGACAAAATGGGGTTGAATTCAAAATGGGGTTGAATTAGCATTTTCGCAAAGGAAAATTAAACTCGTGTTAGGCAATCAGCAGTATTTTTGCGAAAAACTCCTTTCCGCGCTAGAAAAAATAACCTCATCAGTCCAACTCCGGTTATGCCATCCACAGAATTGTGCGAAATCCATCTCCAAATTTACAAAAAAAAAGGACATATTTCAAACCATGCTCAGGTCTACGCACCATCACGATCTTTGGCACTCAAGCCTGTCAAACGATCGTAGGGGAACCGACTTGGCTGAGCAGATAGACGATTCGACATTCTGCACAATGAACGACGACACACCCACCAGGATTATGGGCAGCTGCTGCAGCTCGCCAGACATAACAATAGTCAGCGCTGGTCTGATAAACAGCACATCATGGCGACCTATGCTGACCTTAGCATCAGACCTTATGCCCATAGTCATCTCGATCGATAAACCAACCGACTTTGCTTCCGCGGAACACCGGACCTATATCAACTTTTCTAAAGCTAATTGGAAAATCTTCTCGGAATTTACTGAAAACTCCTTCGCTGCGCTCCCCACACCAAACGACGTCCATCTCGGTGAACGTAAGTTCCGCAGGGCTGTCACCGCTGCTGCTGCTCGCTTCGTACCGGCAGGATGCATAACGGACCCACGTCCCAAATTTCCCTGCCGAAGCGGCTTTTCTAGCCGATGAGCGTGACAGCCTTCGTCAGGCCGATCCCGGAGATCCCCGTATCAGGGATCTCAACGCGGAGATTCGGCAACTAGTGAACGTACATAAGCGGAAGAAGTGGGAAGATCATCTGAAGACCTGTAACTTCACCTCTGGTGTGAGTAAGCTTTGGTCAACCGTGAGGTCATTATCCAATCCGACGAAGCACGACGACAGAGTCGAAATTTCTTTCGACGACCATGCATCGTCGGACCCGGAGCGATGCGCGAGCTATTTTAGCCGACAAAGCCAAGCGTCGACTGACCAGAAGGCTGCACAAACTGCCAACAACCTGTGCCCCCTAGCTTTCACTTGCGGTGAAGTTCAGGTGGCCATCGGGAAGGCGAAATCCTCCAAAGCCATGGGCCCCGACGGAATATGCATGCTGATGCTGAAAAATTTGGATCTTGCGGGAGTAGCGTACCTAACGGAGGTCCTCAGTTTGTCAATGGCCACTCTCATCATCCCAGACGTCTGGAAGGTGGGGAGAGTGGTCCCACTGCTCAAACCGGGGAAACCTGCCAACAAATGAGATTCGTATCGGCCGATAACACTCCTTTCCCCGGTAGCGAAGACACTCGAGGCCTTGCTGCTCCCGTATTTCCACAGGGTGGTGTCCTTTCCCCGCTACTGTTTAACTTTAACATTTCAAAGCTCCCTCAACCACCAGAGGGAGTCTCGATTGTCTTTTACGCCGACGATTGCTCGATTATGGCGTCTAGGAATGGAATTGATGACATGTGTTCGAAAGTAAACGGGTATCTCTCCGAACTTTCTCGCTTCTTCACTGCAAAGTGTCTAGCCCTCTCCCCTACAAAATCCTCTGCGACCCTGTTCACAACCTGGACGAAGGAGGTCAGGCTACCGCTGGGAATCACGTCGATAACACACCAATTCCAGCGGTGAATAATCCAAAAATACTCGGAGTAACATTCGACAGCCTGCTCTCCTTCTCTGCGCACGCAACCGCTATTGTCAATAAAGTACAGAGCCGCAAGAAGGTCCTCAAGTCGCTAGCCGGCAGTACTTAGGACAAAGACAAAGAAACGTTGCTGGCAACATACAAGGCAATAGGCCGGCCGGTTTTAAACTACGCAGCACCAGTGTGGTCGCCGAACGAAGCTACAGACTGTACAGAACACCGCACTCAGGACAGCGACAGGATGCCTCCTTATGTCGCCAGAACATCACCTCCACAACGAGGCACAAATGCTCCCTATAAAGGAGCACAACATAATGCTCTGCAAGCAGTTTCTAATCGGGAGCCACAGAAGTGGCCACCCGAACAGACAGCTGCTTGCAGAGGAGCCCTCGCCTAGGCACGTCAGGAGGCATCTATACGAACTGACGGACGAAGTCCAGAGATATCTTAACCTGGCGTAACCTATAGCAGCTCATTAAACACAACTAATATCGTCCGATTCAGCAGGAACCAAAATGACTGTAACAAATAAATAAATCAATTCAACCATGTCGTTGTCAAATCATATGTACTACAGTGATGTATGTATGTACATTAGACTGCATCTCTCCCCATACAAAAAAAAATATCGGTACTATTTTTCCATTGGAATTATAAAATCTATTATATTTTAAGACGTCCACCAAAATATTTCGGAAAAATATTAAGATTTAAGTGAGCTGGACCGATTTGAAAATACCTCCAAAAATGGAGTTTTTTATGAATAAAAATAGTTTCTTAAATATTTTTTTTTTTTTTTTTGAAAAATCCCCTCAGATGACGACACGGTTTAAGCTTAAAATATTTGCATAAACATATTTTAAACAAATTTGAACGGAATCGTAATGATGAGATTTTTGATGCTGTTTTTTAACTTTTTTCAAAGATTGGTATAGGAAAAACTTGAATAACTGAGCCCAAACTCTTCCGATTTAGACCTAAGGGCATCATTGGGAAGGTATTTTCTCACCCTTTTTATTTCTTTGCTAATAAACTCATTCAAAGGATGGAAGAGAAAGGTAGGATGAACGAACGTCATTCAAAGTTGAACTAAGATGTGTTGGTATTCAAAAAAACAAGATGGGACACAAATGACGTTTTTTTTGGCCAGTAATAATAGTGCGAAAATACCTTTCTACTGAGATCCCATAAGTCTAAACATTTTTCGCCCAGTTATTCAAGTTTTTCGTAAACCAATCTTTGAAAAAAGTAAAAAAACAGCATCAAAAATCTCATTCTTACGATTCCGTTGCAAAGATTTACAAATATTTTTATGCAGATTTTTTAAGCTTAATCTAATTTGTCATCTGAGGGGACTTTTTTCAAAAAGTTCTTTAAGAAACTATTTTTATTCACAAAAAACTTAATTTTTGGGGGTATTTTCAAATTGGCCCAGCTCGCTTAAATTTTATACTTTCCCGAAATCTTTTGGTGGACGTATTAAAATATAATAAAATTTGTAATCCCGGTGGAAAAACCGCAACTTTTTTTGGTGATGCAGTTTAATGTCGACTCTAGACCTGTGAATGCCGTTCTAGGAACACAAACACCGGACATTGACGCGACGGAGCTCCATCTGCCTCGGTAGACAAGAACAACAATAGCCCAACTTCGCTCTGGCTACTGCAGCCGGCTGAACTCTTACCTGAGTAGGCTAAATGCGGATGTGCCGAATGAATGTCCGGCATACGGAGACCCCTCACGACTCTAAGCATCTCTTCGCATGCCCGGAAAACCCTACAACCCTAACGGCGGTGTCCCTGTGGACCGACCCCATAGAGGCTGCACGCTTCTTGGGGCTGCCGTTAGTGGAACTCGACGACAACGACTGAGATACCAACCGATCTGGGCGGGGTTGTTGTAGCCGCTACAACAACAACATATTTGATAACATGTGCTTCTTTTAATTGTTTTCAAGCATACTCATTTACATTTATTAGCTTATAAAATAGCATTTTTATATTTATCTTGTACCTAGTTCTAACAACTTTAATACCTCTTCTTTATACCTTGCTAAATTATATTCATTTTCACCTTCGTTTATTAAATTTTCTACGCTTTGGGCAAAGCCCTTGTTGACCTTTAGTTCATTTTTATCATCCAAGGGTTTTCCCCAGTTAATTATAGCTTCAGCAGATTGCCTTGATTTATTCCGGTCAAAACTGTAATATTCCATATCAGCTTCCGATTTGCTAGCTTCCCAAGGTTCAGTAACAAATGATTCATGATAGCATGCGGTCAACAAATACATGGCATAGTCATAGTTTTGTTTTCTTAAAGGGCAACGATCGGCAACAATAGTGAGTATATCTGTGTCGGAATTGTATCGATCACCTACTAATCGTAAAAACTTGTCCTTTGCATGTACATCAAATTTCAAATCAGACAATTTGATGTTCAGTGTTATTCGTCTAGCTTCAGAATTTCGTATAGTAGGTAGAGCGTGACAGTAGTCAGTGCTCTTGATTTCAATAGGAAAATATTTCCTGCACTTTTCCTCCGATTCTAAACCTTTAGGCCATGGCGTGCAAAATTGTTTCAAAGCTTC